CACTTACACCCCGTTCACACCCCACCTCACCCCACCCCACCCCACCCCCCCAGATCTCCCAGGAGGTGCTGCCCTGTGGGGCGCGCGTCATCCTGGTCGCCACCCCGGGGGCCCTCTACATCACATCCTCATCCGGCCCCGGCGTCGAGGGCGCCTTCTCGCGGTGACCGGGGCGAGGGGAGGGCGGGGCGGCCGCGTGACTGTCTGTTTTTCGAACCCTCACCCCTGGACCCCGGGCGCCTGCGGCGGCCCGGCGCGGTGGGCCCTGCAGTGCGGGCCGCGGGCAGTCTCGCGGCGCTTTCGCTTTTTTTTAGGGAGGGGCGTGGGCTTCTTCAGGCTCCTCGGCTGGGGTCTGGTCAGGATGACGTCATCCCCCATCGTCAGCCGTCCCTCCCGCTGTGCTGGCTCCCGCCAGCTCACCCCCTGCCACCGCCTGCCGCGCAGCTTCCCACCTCACCTGCTGCGCGGGGCTCCGTTATGAAACACGCCGTCGATCTCACACCGAACGGCCCCCTCTCCCCGCTCCTGCCTTGCAGCTTCCCAACAGCTTCCGCCTGGGAACCCCTCATCGAGGTGGCGGTCCCCTCCAACCACAGCCGCCTGCACCTGCCGCGCGCCGGCGGCCCGCAGTCGCTGCCGGGGCGGTTTGCGTGGCTCGTGGGGGGCTCCATCTGCCACGGCCACCTGCTGCTGCAGGTGTGAGAACCGCAAACGGACCGGCCAACGCGCCAGCTGGGGCGGGATTTTCTGTGCTTTTTGGTCCTACACCTTGATGATTTCTGGTGTCGGGTGGCACCTGCATGATATAGCCACCGCCTGCTGCGGGGGAGGGGGGGAGGCAGTGTTGATGGGGTTGCTCTCCGAGCTGTGTTTCTGCGGTAGCGCCGCCCAGGCGGTCTGGGCGGGACGCCCGCTGAGCTCTGTGGTGCCACCCTTGCGCCCGCACGCCTTCCGAGTGCGGAACCTGGCGTTGACGAGAAACCATGTGCAGGGCTTGTCCCCACTGCCCCTTACAAAATCATAGCATGAAAGTCCTGAAACAACCATGCTCTGTGTTCAAAAAGAACAAACCATGCCTCATTCCTCTTCGCGTCCCACCCCACCCCGACGCACGCGCCGGAAACACGCCACGCCCGGCACCACTTGAAACCGCAGCGGTTCGCCTCTGACCCATCGGTGGCGGCGGGGGACCCCCAGGAGTATGTCGGCGACATGCGGCAGCTGCCGCTGGGGCAGCTGCCGCTCGGGCGGGCGCCTGCCGCCAGCGGCGGCGCGGACGGCGGCGGGACGAGCCCTGAGGACGAGCCGGCGTGCATGGTGGGAGGGTCAGGGGACGCTGTTTTTGAGGGCTGGCCGGGAAGGGAGGAGGAGGGGTTCAGCAAGGGCGGGGGGCTTCACAGGGTGCCAAGTACAAAATCGATGCAGGCTGGGCCTGCGACTTCACAAATGCGGGGCGTACGGGACGATTTTTCGGGCGCATGGCTTCCTCCTGGGCACATCATTCATCTGCCGGCGCGTGCCACACATGTCTCGACCTCGCCCTTCCAGCGCAACACATGCACATGCGCAACCCCAAACATGACATTGTCGCGCAATGCGGCCTTCCACCCCACCCCACCACCTGATGACGTCACCGCCCCCCCCAAGGCCGTCACCGAGTACCATTACATCCTGCTGCACCCAGACCGCCTGATGGCGGTCAACCAGGCACGCAGCGCGCGGTCAAACCTCCGTTTTTGACCGGTCAAACCCGCGCGCCGAGCCTGCTGACCGTGGTTGGAGCGCGTGTGGACAGGCCCTTGGAGCGGCATGGCAGCTGCGGCGCATCTTGAGGCTTTTTTTGAGTAGCATCGTGCCTAATGTTATCGGGTAGAGTCTGGCGGCGACGCCCGGCTTCTCCCCTGTCATCGCGCTGGAGCAGCGGCGTCCTTTGGCAACCCTCCTGCCCGCACACACACACACACGCCGCACCCACATTGCGCATCGCCCATTCCAAAACGCCGTCGCCAGGTCAGCGGGAAGGTGGTTGCTGAGGTGGCCCTCGGCCCGTCGGGCGCCAGCGGCGTGATCGGTGAGCAGCCGCGTCCCGCCCAACCCCCCTCCCTGGGGCGCCGTCTTTCTTGAGACTTGCGTCCTCAGTCCGGGGGGCCGCCCGGCGGACCTGGCCGGGCCCGCTCGTTCTGGGGCAGCCCCACCAGCTTCTAAAAAAAATAAGAGAGCGCACCGCACTCAGGATGTGGGATGTAGCGGAAAGCATGTTTTTTCCGTCCCATGCGACCGCCTTCTCCCTACACACCAACACATGCACACACACGTGTAAACACCCACATTCACTCTCCCGGCAGGCGCCCCCCTGACGCTGCTCCAAGACGGCGGCGGCGGCGGCGGCGCGGGGCCGTACCTGGTGACGTCAGACGCGCTGCTGGAGGTCGGGTTACTAAACGAGGGCCGGGGCATGTGGCGCACCTACCTAGAATATGAGGTGCGGGGTTCGAGGGTAACGGCGGCGACGGCGTTGGACCGCACGTTGGGAGGCTCCTCGTCTTCCGGGGCGGCGTCGCCACGTTGGGCCTATCGATTGCGTCTTGCCCTGCATTTTGTTTGGCGATCGGCTGTCGGCTCTCAAGCCTGCGCGGGCCGGTCAGCATCACCCACCAACCCCCGCGTTTGGAGCCCAACCAGCAAACCGCAAATGGGCCGGGATCTCAATACCCGACAAATCTCTTTGTCCCTTTCTTTGGACTCATCCTTGGCCAAAAACATCGAACCTGCCACATTCCGGTCAACGCAGCCGCCTGCTTTGAGGGGCTGCCCTCGTTGCGCCCTCGCTGAGCCCCGGAAATACGAGCCCACATGCCGCGCCCCTTTGTGCTGCTGTTAGACCACATCAGAGGCGACCTTTTGCCGTGCATCCGTGAAACCTGAGAGGTCGGTGTCGCAAAACCTTCAAACATTGCCAAAAACCTCCCAACCCCCTCCCTAAAAACATCCCCCAACCCCCTGAAAACGCACCCCCAGGATTACGATAGCGCGCTGAAGCTGGCGGCGGGGCCGGCGCAGCGCGACACTGTGTACTTGGCGATGGCGCGCGACAGCTTCGCGCGCGGCGACTACAAGGCCGGTGAGGCTGTGCGTGTGTGTATGTGTGTGTCTGTGCGTGGTTGTGTGTGTGTGTGCGTGTGTGTGTGTGTGTGAGCGTCTATGTGTGCGTGTGTTGGTTTGGGTGTGAGTTGTGTGCGTGTGTATCTGTGAGTGTTGTGCCGTCATCGGCGCAACCCTCGCACCCCCTGTCCCTGCCCTCACCTCCCCCGGACATACCCTTGCCTAATGCCGCACCTCCTCCCCCCTCCCCCCCAGCCGCGTCCCAGTGGGCGCGTGTGGTGGGGGGCCGGCCGTCCTTTGAGGACGTGGCGCTGCAGCTGGTGGAGGCGGGGGACCCGGGGGCCCTGGCGCTCTTCCTCTCAACAAAGCTGCAGGTGGCAGCCTGGGCGCGGCTTATCCGAACTTGCGACGGTTTCCCCTTGGCTCCCTTCGGCAACGGAACTGCCTCAGGCCGATTATTTGGTTTGTCTGGTTGACAATGGTGGTGTGACAGCCAGGCCATGAATCACCATATCTTCCCCCAAAGCCAGGCCATCAATCAGCATGTCTTTCCCCAAACGGATCTCCCCTCGAGACCTCGCCTCCCCCTTGAAAGGGGAGAAGATCCTCAGGCCAGCAAGAAACCCGCCCCCTCCCCCTTCTCCCACGTGTGCCGAAAAACACGCGCAGGTCTTGGGGCGCAATGACAAGGCCCAATCCACACTGGTGGCCACGTGGCTGACTGAGCTTCTGCTGGACTCCATAAACAGGCACGCCTGCTTTGGTCGCGATGGTCGGGGCCGCGGCGCAACGTCCCCTGTTGACGCTTGTGTGGCTCGGATCGGTATGGGCCTGGATTTGTCCATGATAAACCCGCCTGATGCGAATAGGGGAAAAACAAAAGGTGCTGCTGCGTGGCTTGAGCGGCTTCGGGAAGCAAGGCGGTCAGCCGGCCCCGGCCCCGGGCAACGCCGACGGTTGCAGACCCGGGTTCGATCCTCGCATCTGCCGACCACTTTTTGCTGCCCCCCAGGGCGGCGCTGGAGGCAGGCGGTAATAGCGAGGACCCCAAGTATCGGGCAGCGGTGGACCAGCTCAGGTGATGATGCTAGAGGAAGGGGCGCATTGGCCTGCGTGTGCATTCATGCATGTGTGTCTGCGCCCATGTGTGTGCGCGCGCGCGCGTGCGTGTGTGTGTGTGTGTGTGCGCGCGCGCGTGTGTGTGTATGTGTGTGTGTGTGCGTGTGTGTGTGTGTGTGTGTGTGTTTGTGTGCGCGTATGTGTAAGGGGGATGCAAAAGGCACGGATCTCGAGCCTGCTGCTTTTGTGCCCCCTTCCACCCTGACACCTGAACCTCACCATCTGATCACCAGCCGGCGCACTTGCCTTTTCGACCTCCGGTCTACATTGCCACCTGCTACACCCCCC